CATTTAATAATTTATCGATAGCTTATATATTAGCTATCGATAAATTAATATATACATCAAAGATGGTTATAACCATATCACTATGGTGATTACCGTAAACTTGGGTGACCTACCCTGGGTGACTTAAGCCACCCAAATTTGGTCTTTTGTTATTTTTTGTTTATACTGCGTAAATTTTGCAATTAAAATTTTAATATTGTCATGTTTTTAATGTTTTTATACACTTTAGTAAATGGGTAAAAATTTCTCAAGTGGGCCACCCAAAAACCCTTCAGTCAAATTTTTTGTTCCAAATATATTTTTTGGGTAAAGTTTAAGCACCTCCACCGATTTGCCCAAAAATTTGTCTAAAAAATTTTTTTTTGTCTCAAACATTAATTAACTAAGTTTTAAGACACTTTTTTTTTTAAAATTAATATCTCCTAAAGTAATGCATTGATTTTTAAAATTAAATCACCAATTAATTCAGATTTTAACGTAGTTTCGATAAAAAAAATTTATAACCTTCAAAATTTGCATGTTTATATATTTTTTAGGTTAATATTTATGAAAAATTGTAAAAAATTGTGTTCTTCATCGAAATTTGTAACGAAAAAAATAGTGTATATAAAAGAAACCTTATTAAATAGATTTGCGTTTAGGAAAAAAATGAATCTCTTCTAGAAATGGAGATATAAAAACATTTGTAAGGCGGCGCGCTGCACTGGCAAGCGCGATAAAACGGGTAGTCGCGCGGAGCGCGTTATCTTCAAGCTTCGAAGTTCGTTGTTATTCAAAAATCGAAAAAACAAACGTGTTTATTAAAAAAAACTCTTTATTTGTTAATTATTATTAATAATTTTTTTTTTGCATATACATTAGTTTACTTGCACAAGTATTTACTTCCTGATTGCACATGTTTTATATATTCATTGGACGATGAAATTTTTCTGCACATGATATGTTTGCCGTCTTCACTTGGTTTAAAGCAATGATACTGGCGCGTATTTTTTATTGTAATTGCTTTCTTATAACGTGAAGTTAAAGCTTTATGCTCCCGATCGTGTTCGTTTTCTGTGCAAAAATCAAAAGAAACTTTCTCAAAAAAATTAATTGCCCAATTATAAAAAATCTTGGGCGTTAAAATTTGATTATATTCAGGTCGTTGCAAACTAACACGATAAGCATTTCTTTTTACTGTCGCGCCAATACCGTCACAGGCACTTTTTCCGTGGGATGTTGCAGAAAAATTCCATTCGACATTGATACCAGTAGATTTCATTAGAAATACAAGATTGAGAAAATTGAACTTATTTTTATATTGGGAACCGGAACCATCAGAAAAAAAGAACAACTTTTTTACATTTTTTTCCCCATGAACTTCCTTTAAATAATTCAGCATCTTTTTATTGAATAAATTCACTGCTGTTGAATCGTGTTTCATACTTTCCGAAATAATTACGAAATTGTGATGAAGGGTTTCATTATTTTCTTTGTAATAAATTACATAGGGATGTATCGTAACTTGGTTGTTTGACCAATGAAAAGACTGAATTGCATCTTGAATAACAAAACTAAAATTTTCAGAAAAATCCTCCTTTCTCTTTTAAATTTATATAATTTCACTTTTTTGTACGCCCGTGAGCGTACAAAAAAGTACTTTTTTCTACGCCCGTGAGCGTACAAAAAAGTACTTTTTTCTACGCCCGTGAACGTACAAAAAAGTACTTTTATCTACTCCTACATTGACGAGCTGTGACTTTATGGCGTTTTATTGACGGGCTGAAGTTAACAACAGTGGCTTTTCGACATTTTACGCCACGGGCTGAAGTAAGCTTTATTATAAATTGGGAAAAGTGAGGTTAAATTCGGGTGACAGTTGACAGATGTCAAAATTTTAACAAATAAAATTGGCTTTAAATTCTGTTTTGTGTTCGTCGTAGATAAAGTATAGTATGCAACTCGTTTATAAACTTCTCTAGACACTCGTTTTTATTAAACACTCGCTCGCAAGCTTCGCTCGTGCTTAATTAAACTCGTAACTAAAATGGCGTTTATAAAACTTGATACATAATATACTATTTTCTACGCTGCTATGGGCAACCATACGCCGTCTGTGAAATCAAACTTTGACATCATGAATTGAAGTTAACAAAGTTGACATTTTTTGACGTTTGCGGAAAAAATTATATATCCTACTTATAGGAACCGAAATAAATGTATTTAAGAATTGTTATTTAAGCTGTTATTTTACAGAAATAACTTACCCTTTTTCTTCCTTAAATAATTATTTACCAAAAACTTAATTGAACAATTTTATTTTAATAATTAAACACTTATCAATAACGACTTTACAACAACACTGTTACCCAGCAAATTATATTTTGACGAATAAATGACAGTTCGAGGGTTTAAGTTTAGGACGTCAAAGCCCACTACATATTAAGTATTAAACGTTTTTGACAGTTGTCAAATATCGCCTTTTGGTTTTGTGTCTAGATTTTGTTGAGTTAATTAAATCTAACATACCTACGCATCAAACAAAATGGGCGCGCTCCGCGCGGGTCGTCGCGGCGACTCGTTTTATCGCGCTCCGCCTTACAAATGTTTTTATATCTCCATTCCTAGAAGAGATTCATTTTTTTTCTAAACGCAAATCTATTTAATAAGGTTTCTTTTATATACACTATTTTTTTCGTTACAAATTTCGATGAAGAACACAATTTTTTACAATTTTTCATAAATATTAACCTAAAAAATATATAAACATGCAAATTTTAAAGGTTATAAATTTTTTTTATCGAAACTACTTTAAAATCTAAATTAATTGGTGATTTAATTTTAAAAATCAATGCATTACTTTAGGAGATATTAATTTATAAAAAAAAAGTGTCTTAAAACTTAGTTCATTAATGTTTGAGACAAAAAAAAAAATTTTTAGACAAATTTTTGGGCAAATCGGTGGAGGTGCTTAAACTTTACCCAAAAAATATATTTTGAACAAAAAATTTGACTGAAGGGTTTTTGGGTGGCCCACTTGAGAAATTTTTACCCAAATATAAAAATAATTAGAAATGGATGAGTTGACACTTTTAGTTCTTTTTGTAACAGGGCTCAAAAAATTATTACCTACTGTCAAATACTTTTTTTTAGAGAGTATTTACATTCTTAGTGTATTTATAGATAGTTTACAAGAAAAGTTATGTTTATGATAACATCAATTAAGACTTGAGATTCTAGAGGTCACTAATGTATGAACATTTCTTTGTATACTATCTATAAATAGGCACTGCGTAGAGTTCTCTATGATCTACTGTCTAAAAATTGTTATGTTTTATAGTTTTTTTGTCAAATTTCTAACATACCATATATCAGTCATAGAAAAAGGATATCAGTGGCCAAAGTCACGTGAGTACTCGCTTATCTTTGCATTTTTAATGAACATTTTTTATCGAAAAAAAAAGTTTGGCCAAACTTTGGCGTTGCCAACTTTGTTTCCAGATATCCCAGGGGTTATAAGAAATTGTCCCCGATTACCTATACAGATTTTTCCGTAGGATTTTTTTTATTAAGTATTTTAAAAGTAAATTAATGTTGACTAGGTCATTAAAATAAAACTCGCGATTGTCTTGGAACTTTTTAATATAAACAAACAAAACAAATAAATAACATAAAATACATCACACTCATAAATTTATTTAGGTCTACGAGTATAGGTATACCTAAATATATTTATATATATATATATATATATATATATATATATATATATGAATATATATTCTATTAATAATAATAATATAATATATATACCTTGTCAACATTAATTTACTTTAAAAAATACTTAATAAAAAATGTATAGGTACCTACACAGTATACGCTATAATAGCGTAGCTAGAAAATTCATAAGGATCCTCGAGAGGGTTTGGGTTTCAATTTAAGAAACAATTAATATACTTAAAGGCATAATAAAAGGAACATACATGTTTACTAAATAAATACTAAATAAATTGATCAACTATAGTATAAGGGGGGGATTGACCCCCAAAACCCCCTGTGGCTACAGGGAAATTTCCCTAGGATTGGCAACGCTGGGCCAAAGCTACCCAACTTTGCTTTCTGACTTTCGCCACCACATTTAATAAAAAAGTGTAGGTACTTTTAAAGTTGCAAAATTTTAAGATTTAGTGTACTTGAAGTACTATTAACGCCCTATAAAATTACACCATGACACCATTTATTGCAAGAACTAGTATAATTTTCTATCCTGTAAAAATTACAGAAAAAAATATAAAAATATAAAAAAAATATTCATTTTATATAACATATGATATTTTATATAGGTAACATATGATATTTTATATTACATATGATTTTCTTTTATCAAATTATATATTTATCAAATTAAATATTTTATATATTTGTTTATCAAATTATTATTTTTAACAAAATATTTTTTTTATCAAACTATTTTTTTATCAAATTAGGTATTTTATTATTTATTATTAAATTCATATTAAAATCGAAAAATCGATTTGGTGTAGAATCAATTTTTTCCACCTCTACTCAACAACCTATAGCATATAGCTACCTATATAGTTGATTCGCAAAGAAAATGCATTTTTTGATTCGCAAAGAAAATGCAATTTTTGTTAATTAAATTATTCAAATAATTTTATATCAAATTAACTTTTAATCAAATTATTTTTTTATCAAATCATGATTTGATAAAAAAATAATTTGATTAAAAGTTAATTTGATATAAAATTATTTGAATAATTTAATTAACAAAAATTATGTAAAAAAATAGTTTGATAAATAATGCATTTAATTAATTATTTATAAAGCAAAATAACTTTATTTTGCACTTTTAATTTTGACTCAACTAGCGCCTTATAGAAGACCCCAAAAAACTCCTTTGTTTATCATGCTACAATTGTCAGCAGTATTGCCAATTGGCAGATAATTATCCTATTTGCGGATAATTTCGAGAGTTGCGGATATTTTTCTAATTACAATATTAAAAAAATAAATTAAATTTAGAAATAATCCACATCGCAAAATGTGATGTAAACCAAATTTTACATTTGTTGATGAAATTTTATATTTGTTGCGGATAATTTCAGGGGCAATAATTTTAATATTTGACATTGGCAACACTGTATGTAAGAGCCATCTAACCTCAAAATGTATGGTATTTACGCACATATTTTAAGTTCCATAAAAATGTGTATTTACGATTGTATTTTATTTTTATTTGGCAAAGGTACCTACCATTATTTGTGTAATGACTGTTAGATTTTTTTTAAATATTTAGGTAATTAAGTGAAAATTAAACTTGATATGTTACCATTAGGTATAATTTATTTGGGAAGATAAATCCAATTATAATCGACCTTGATGCGCGATAATAATTGTAGCTTCTAGTTAAAAAGTAGTACGTATTTTTTTTATTTACTGAAACAAAGGAACTGGGAATTGGTTATGATTCCTCTAGCTTTGCTCATTGCACATCATATGGACAGCGGTTGTTGACTAACAATAATAACAATTTAACAAAAGCTTTGCATACTAACGATTATTATTTATGAGGACATTTAAAATTGTGACTTTGTTCATATTTTAGGAATAAGTGAAAATGATTTTTGAAAATGGATACCTTAGAATTGAATTTATTGTTATATCACTGTTTTTAGGAATTATGCTTACTGGTAAGTACTTTTTTAGTTTTATTCTAATAAATTTACATATTTATATTTTTTGTCTACAAAATAAAGGGGGCATTATTTTGTTTATGCATGCATAGATATTAGGGTGCTTCAAAAAATGAAAGGGGGCAAAACAAGGCAGGGGGGGCAAAATGGGTTACCCAAAAAATGAGCATATGAAAAGTTTTCCAAAATTGTACCATCCTTTTTCTCGCTCTACAGGCTCAGAATAATTATTTTCGATTAAAAGTGTGGTGAGTCAATATATTTTCAAATAATTTAGAACGGAAAAAAACAATCTAAAAAAAATTTTCTTTACGAAATTATTTTGCCCCCCGCTGCCTTGTTTTGCCCCCTTTCACCCCGTCTGCTAATTGTACCATACAATTAAAAAAACCAGAAAATTTGATGTTAATCAAACTCGAATAACTCTAGAAGAAATCAATTTATCGAAAAATTATAAGAGACCTTCTTTGTAGAGCGTTACATTTTATATAAGAAACTGCAATGATCATTGCCATAAGTTACTTTGATACAGAGGTATAAAATTATTTTTTCCCATGTTAATTCAATGGGAAACTAAAATAAAAACAGCGACCTCTTAGAGTTGAGCTGGAACGCCCATATTTGGTGAGCATTTTTTTTATATTAAATAGAAACATTTGAGAGGGTAAGAGCAAAAAAAAATTAAATTTTAATTTTTGAAGCACCCTAATAGATATTTAAAATACCTTAAGGTACCTATTTTACATAATTATGCAAGCATTAACAAAATAATGCTAGGTATGAATTTATACCTACATGCAAAATATTTAAAATAACTTATTTTAATTAGTTTAAAAAAAACTATTAATTTTAGAATGCCTACCACATGTTTTGATAACAAAATATTTTATATATTTGATTTTTAGTTTCTTAATCTGTTAATAACCTTTTGAATTAAAAACAACGGAAATCATTTACAAAATATATTTGTATTTACATTGTATGATAATGATATAATGATTATTTAATAATTAACAATTTTTTAAATGTATTTATTAAACCCTAAAAGATTACAAGCATCTACAACAGGTATTGGTAGTGATTAAAGTGCGGTATCGTTACCGCGGTAACGGTAATTTTGGTAAGGTAAGTTTGGTAATTTAACCCGGCAAATTTCTTTACCGGTAATTTTAAAAAATGATTTCGCCATCTAGCCCTGAATCTATAACGCTCTTGGATTTATTCTTTTTTTTTTACCTAGTTGCATTGTTTTCTGGCAGATGGCAGCGATAGTGGGATTAGTAGGAGTAGGTAACTCCCCGATTGCGATTTAGACGTGTTTGTCCAATCAAGGAAAGTACACAAGTAAATATTATTTGTTTCCTTTTTTAACAAACAATAATATAATAAATGGTTTATAAGTATGTAAAAAATACTAAAAATATATAATCCCAAAACGTATACATTATATAATGTCCATCCATAGGTATAATTATTTGTTTTTTGAAATATTTCCAAAATTACCGGTAAATTACCACTGAGAAAAATCAAATGAAAATTACCGGTAAACTTCAATCTAGTATATATCTAGTTTTTTTTTCATTTTCCGGCAAAGAAACACTTTATACAATACGTTTTTGTGTTTTGAGTTGTGCTGCAAAATTACAGTACTGTCCGAACTAGGTCTAGACAACCATGCATTTCTTACTACATTTTTTATTTTGTTTTGTATGGCTGTTTAGACCTAGTTCGTACAGCATAGTTTTTTCTATTTTTAATTTTAATTTTTAATTTACAGACTCAATATACACAAACTTCGTGATATACCGCACTTGCTATGTCGTACTGGGCTACAACCAGTCGGAGTGCGCACTTTTGGGCGGCCAAACCAAAGACAACCAAACGCAAAGTCTCGAGGAACTGGTCGAACCTTACGCGAACGTCATAACAATGACCAGAAGTATGACCGAAAACTGCATAACGGCTATTCTTTGCATTTTCATCGGACCATGGTCCGACAGGTTTGGCAGAAAACCGCTTATAATAGCGCCAACAATAGGTAAGAAAATAAATAAATTTATAAGTTTTTGATTTAAATATTGTTACATGCACCATCTCTTACATCTAAGGTTATTTAAATTTTAACTATGCTTCTATATTTGAATCTAAATATAGGTACCTAATTGTTTTTGGTTAAAATTATTACCAAATAAACTGCGCACCACTCAATGTGTCGCGACCAAAAGGTTTGTCCTTTTTTAAAATGACATAACTTTTTTGTTTCTTGAACGATTTCATTTTGGTCTGTGATGTCTGCTAGCCATATCCTCTGGCAATTCATGTTATAGATATGAAGCTCACGGTTCTTCAAGTAAATTTTCTACAGGGTGATATGTTAAACGGTGAAAAATTTCAATAACTTCATCCAAGCCCCGTTGGAAAAAAGAAATATTTTTTTTCGTTTTTAGTTTGAAATAATAAAGTATTATGTCTTACCTTGAAACGGTTTTCAAATTTTTCAAATTGGAATCTTAGCAACGAAAATATTATTTTTTTTTCCAAAAGAGTAGATTTAAGGCTTTTTGATAGACAATACACTGTCTTTTTAAGAACAAGAAGATAAGATGGTGCAAGATTGTTCCTTGAATAATTCTGAACAAGCGACAAGCAACAAATTTCCATTATTTTCAGAGGGGCCTAAGCAACGACCACTTTTTCCAAATGACATTTTGGTGAAAATTGGCGAACACTAAACCTCAACGGAATTTACGTTCGTGACATGTTTCCTTTATATTTTTGACCTCCTGATTGTGATTCAGTTGTCAAATTTAAGTTTCAGATAAAACCAAAATCACCAAGAATCAAAATTCGAAAACAATTCCCTGCTGTTAAATGTCTTAATAAAATACGATTGGTTTTATCTTAAACTTAAATTTGACAACTGAATCACTCTCAGGAGGTCAAAATTATGAAGAAAACATGTTACGAACGTAAATATCGGTTTCGGTTTAGTTTTCGCAAATTTTTACCAAAATGTTATTTTGAAGTGGTATTTGCTTAGGCCCTCTGAAAATAATGGAAGTTTGTTGCTTGTTGCTTGTTCAGAATTATTTAAGGAACAATCTTTCACCATCTTATCTTCTTGTTCCTAAAAAGACTAAGTGCATTTCCTATAAAAAAGACTTACATGTACTCTTTTGGAAAAAAAATCATATTTTCGTTGCTAAGATTCCAATTCGAAAAATTTGAAACACGTTTCAAGGTAAGACATAATACTTTATTATTTCAAAGTAAAAACGAGAAAAAAATTATTTTTTTACAAACCGGGCTTGATTAAAGTTATTGAAATTTTTCACCGTTTAACTAATCACCCTGTAGGAAATTTACTTGAAGAACCGTGAGCTTCATATCTATAGCATGAATTGCCAGAGGATGAGGCTAGCAAACATCACAGACCAAAATAAAATCGTTCAAGAAACAAACAAAATATGTCGTTTTAAAAAAGAACGAACTTTTTGGTCGCGACACATTGAGTGGTGCGCAGTTTATACAATATTAAAAACAAAAATTGGTAAATAGACAATTAAGATTATGGCTTTAGAAAACAAAATATATTTTCTTTTAGGTTATACAATATCTTTTATTTGTGCAGTAATATTTACTTTATTACCCAATTTATCACCATGGTATTTTATTTTAAGCAATATACCAATTTGCCTAACAGGAGGTATGCCGATTTTTATAACAGGAGTTTTATCACATGTCACTGATATCACTAGTGCTGAAAATAGAGGAATGAGGTAAGAAAACATTTCACTCTGGAAGGGCTTTTTCTGTATGGATACATATAATATTATACTTTTTAGAATACCAAACAAAAATAAATTAGGGTCTTACGTGAAAAGCCTTTTTCCGCGCAATAAAGAAAAAAATAATTTTTTTTATTATTTTTAGAGGAATAAAAAAAATGTATACATTTTATTTTTTTTAAATTTTAGAATGGGTATAGTTGAGGCTACATTAGGAATAGGTATTTTCCTAGGAAATCTATGTAGTTCATATATATTTTTTGCAATAGGATATGCTGGAGTTTTTGGTATAGCCGCTGGTATTTCTTTTTTTACTTTCCTTCTGGTCTGGTTTTTTATACCAGAAACTTTAGAATCCAACGAAAATGAGGTAATTTTTTTTTAATAAAGTCCCGCACAACAATCCTGAGTTCATTTGAGCTTATATGTTATCTTTTACATACATATATCTGATAGATACATATATGATTTTTATCAAATTATTATACATTATTTCCTCGGATTTAGTTACAAAGTTCATTTGAGCTTATATGTTATCTTTTACATACATATATCTGATAGATACATATATGATTTTTATCAAATTATTATACATTATTTCCTCGGATTTAGTTACAAAGGGTTCCCCCTTTGTTAAATTAGCTTTAGCACCAAAAACTATTTGCATATCTCTGAACAGTTTATGAGGAAATTAAATTTTCCGGAAAAAATTATTTACTTTCTAATTAAAAACATATTTTCTAAAGTTTTTGGTTTTTTGGGGTTTTCAAAAGAGTTGGAAAAAATCATCCAGAATAAATTTATGGGAAAAATCAAATATAGTTTGTCCCAATTTTAAAGAAAAATGTAATTTTCTTCTAAACTGTTTGTTATTCAGTTTTTTATGGGTTTAACTATGATTTCGCGAAAGAATCGAACGATCGATTTACAACACATCTCAGATTTTTTTTTAATTTTAATATTTTGTTTATACATCCAATTTAACACTAAATCTAAAATTTTTCTTTCATCTGACTTAAACTTTAGCTCCTAGAAACCATTTAATTTTGCCTTTCACAAAAAGGCCAAATTCCATTATTTTGGCATACATTTTTTATTAAAATACTGAATGATTTGAAATTTGGCCCATGTATGACCCCTATTAGTACCCACAATTCTGTCAAAAAAAAGTTTTAATTTTTTACATACAGGTGGCGCTGCAATTTTTTTTTCTTCGAAAGTAGACGTTTTTTGAAGACAAAAAATTCTCTTAAGCAACAATGCTCAAAAAAACTAAATAGCGTACCAGATAATATAGATATTCCTTTATAATTCGACATATAAAAATTTACTTGCAAATGATGTTGCCGCCCGTAAAGCCAACTTAAAGTTTGGTCTACCGCATTAAAAAAAATTGAATTACACTTTCAACTCTATCCTTATTTTTAAACTAAGGAACTCCAGGTGATGGCTTTTATTGGTAACTAAAACGCAACAAAAAAAAGTTTTATTTTTTTACATACAGGGGGCGCTGCAGCCTTTTTTTCAAAAATAGACGTTTATAAAGACCATAAAGTTACTTAAGCAACATTGCTTAAAAAACTAATGACATTATTTATAATGTATCAGATAATATAGATATTCTTTTATTGTTTGACATATAAAAAATTATTTGCAATAATTAATGCCTGTTGTAGGGACGATTAAAATTATAACTAGTGCACGTACCCGCATATTGTTATATAAACGCCTTTTTTCGCTTTTATTGTTGGATGCGGACAAAAGGTAACAAAACCAAAGAAAATTTAATTAAAAATGGTAACAAGTATTTCAGTGACTCTATAGTAATAGTAATATGACCATTTGTTTAAATATATTTTAGTATATTTCGAGAGGCAAAGCATTCTTTATTATCGTACTTTAAAATTAAACTAAAGTCAAGCCTATAGGCTGGGAATCAAGTTACCCCAACAGTTGACAGTTACTGTCAAACGGTAACCATAATAACATTTAAAATATCATGCTTTTAAAGGTACGCAAAGTTAATAAATTTTCTTTAAGTAAATCAAAATTCTAGGAATTGAATTTTCTTCTGGAGTAAACATGAAAGTTCCTTGGACATCATCGAGTCGACAAAAGGAAAATCTAAATAATTTAAAAGCAATTAATTATAGGTGCGACGAATTACTTTGCAGTAGGGTTTTTGAAAATGAAGATGATCTTCTAAACCACCTTAAATTTCAAAATCATAAATTTCCTGAAATTAGATAAACTATAGGTGATGTTGCTAGAATGGAATTTTTAAAACAAAAAGATGTTTTAACTGCAACTAGTTCAACAATATCTACCGTCAATATATGCCCAAATGAAGAAGATTAAAATACGTTTTTTCGAGTATTTTCAAAAGGGTTCGGAAGGCGCAAAATTAAAAAATGACGTTTTAATGAAAAACAAAAAGATTTTATTGGCAACCTTTTTGAAGAAGGTGAAAAAACTAAAATTAAATATACGCCTGAATATATAGCAACAGCTTTACAAAATTATGAAGTAAATGGCAAATTTTAGTTTTCTTCAAACGAGTATATGCATCCTAATCAGATACGCGGCTTATTATCAAGATTATCGTCAGATAGAAGGTTAAGCAAAAATAGAAAAAGAAAATTAAAAAATTTGCCGGAAGAAATTGAAGAAATTAGCCCAGAAGCGGATGAAGTTTTTTTGAAGTTTTATCAGTTTTAAAGTAGTTCCTTTGCGGCCTAAGTAACTTTTAAGTTATAAATAACCCTGGTTAAAATCTCTAGACTGATTCTGAGAATCGCTCTAGAGATTTGAACCAGCCAGTAGGATATAAACCAGGGTTATTTATAACTAAAAAGTTAGCGAATATACTCCTTAGATCCCAACAAGTTTAAAATTTAATGTAAAGGTAATAATTATTATTATTATAATAATTATTAGGATATATCTTTATTATTTAATATATGCAAATCTTGCAGATAAATTGTTATATGTTAAATAATAAAGAAATAGTAATATCAATAATAATAATAAAGAAAAACATAATAAATAAAATAAAGAACAAACCTATTAAATAAATAATGAATGGAATACGTAACTCTTTATACATAACTATATTATCTGAAATGCTATATAGTTTTTAAAGAAAAAAGGCTGCAGCGCCCCCTGGGTGTGAAAAAATAAAAAAAAAATTTGCTGTGTTATTGTTACCAATAAAAGTAATCTCCTGGAATTCCTTAGTTAATAAATAAGAATAAAGTTGTAAGTGTAATTCAATTTTTTTTTAATGCGGTAAACAAAACTTTAAGTTGGCTTTACGGGCGGCAACATCATTTGCAAGTAAATTTTTATATATCAAATTATAAAGGAATAAGTATATTATCTGGTATACTATTTAGTTTTTTTGAGCATTGTTGCTTAAGAGAGTTTTTGGTCCTCAAAAAACGTCTATTTTTGAAAAAGAAAAAATTGCAGCGCCACCTATATGTAAAAAATTTAATTTTTTTTTTGGTAAAATTGTAGGTACTAACAGGGGTCATTTATGGACCACATCTCAAAACATTCAGTATTTTAATAAAAAAATTATGCTAATATAATGAAATTATGGCTTTTTGCGAAAGGTAAAATTAAATGGTCTATGGGAGCCAAAGTTTAGGTCAGATAAAAGAAAAATTTTAGATTTAGGGTGGAATAAGATGTATAAACACAATATTAAAATATAAAAAAAATCTGAGATGTGTTATAAAAAAATACCCCAAAATCGTTCGATTCTTTCGCGAAATCATAGTTAAAAACGAATAATTTTTGGAAGAAATCAAAAGTATTTTTCTCTTTTTAACATAGGTACCTAGTAGGTACTACCTACTTAATATGAATACCTACTGCAAAGTTTCTAAACTTAAAATATTAAAAAATAATTGTACATTTGAAATTTGTATGCTTATATATAATATTGTAAATGCCCTTACAAAATTTGAATTTTAAAACCAAAATTTGCTTATCATATTTGGAATAAGAAAACTTTATCGATAAATTTTAAAAGTGAATCATCATTTTTTTAAACAATGGTATCACACAACTTAATATGTTGTAATGGCCGAATGCACAAAGGGTAGTTAAAATTTTTTGGCCAAAACATTTTTTATATATGGCCACACATTTTGTTAAATATATTGCATTAAAGACATTTAGAAACCAAAAAATAGTATTTAACATAAAAAAAAAAATATTTTAGGGTTATTTCAAAGGATTTTTCGACTTATCAAACATAAAAGAAATGTTAAAATCCACCTTTAAAGAACGCGAAAGTTACACCAGACCAATTATTTTACTCAGCATTCTTCTACTAACCTTATACATTTTTGTAATAAATGGAGATGCATCAATTACATTTTTATACCTAAGAGACAAAATGCAATGGTCACTAAAACAGTACACTATATTCAGTAGTATAGGAACTGTCATTTTTATAGTTGGTACAGTTTTTGGGATTTATATTTTGCATACTTTGTTAAATATCACCGAAAGTGTACTTGTTTTGTGTGGATTTTTGTCGTTTATGAACGGGCATTTAATACAGGGTCTCGCGACGAAGGATTGGCATATTTACGGAGGTAAATATTTAGGTCAATTATATCTCCCCACCCTTATATCTAATGTTTTAATATTGTAGCTAGCTTTGCTAAGATTTTAGGAGGGCTGGTAAGCCCTATGATGAGATCTCTTATTTCAAAAATAATACCTTTAGAAGAAGTAGGCAAAATTTTTGCTATGGTAGTCACAGCTGAATCTCTTTGTGGTATTTTGGGGTCACCTATATATACTGGGATATACAATAAAACCATACATAAAGACCCAGCGACATATTGCTTCTTCACGGCGGGCATATATGGGGTGGACAGTGTACTTATTATGTAAGTTTTTATTAATGATTTAATTTTTTTCAATTTACATTATTTTTTTAGTGTAATAATTATATTACAATTTATGAGAAGACGAACTTCCTATAATAGTTTAATAAACGAAAATACTGATGACAATGAAGTAATTATTACGTAATATTAAAGAATTGTAAATATTTAGTAAATTGTAGTAATTTTAATGTATAATATAATGTATATAAACGATTTTTAATAAAGCTTTATTAATATATTGACAGTTTATTAGTAAAAGTATTGTTATTTTGGTAAGTTTACATCTCTTTAGGTGGCAGCAATGTTCCAACACAGGAACCAAATCCAACATTGAACCCATCTCCCGCACAGGTGGCTGTCATGGTAACCGTATCGCCATCTTGCAAAAATTTCCTTTGGGTTCCATCGCGAAGCGTTAGTGGTTTTGTTCCCTTCCAAGATAGTTCCAACATTGAACCAAAGGAATCGGACGTCTAAAAAATAATAACATGTATAAATTTGGTATTTTGGTACCATTATAAAAATAATTACATCACCACTTATGGTACCACTGCCCATAAGGTCGCCTGGGTTCAAATTACACCCAGTCACCGTATGGTGGGCTAGTTGTTGTTTAGCTGTCCAGTATAAGAATTTGTAGTTTGATCTGCAAACGTTTGTTGCCACAGAGGAACCCTTAGCTAAAAAGCAATGTTTTTAGTATTGGTATTGGAATTGTAAAAAACACATACGAGATATGTCTACCGTGAGATCGATATCGAAATTAAAGTTGTCGCTGTGTTTTAAGTAAGGGAATGGTTCTGGGTCTTGTGGATAATTGTCGACTTTGAAAGGTTCCAAAGCAAAAGTGGTCACCACCCATGGTGATATGGAAGTTCCCAAATTTTTAGCTGTGAATGGGCCTAGAGGAATGTACTCCCATTTTTGGATATCCCTTGCTAAAATAATTTTATCATTATTATTTCTTTTTTAGAGTGTTCTTAAAATCTTTTTAATTGGAAAACACAATATTTGAAGCTCCCAAGCAACAATTTAAGTATTTGTTACGTATATGGGAGTATTGAAGAAACTTTAAAGTGTTTTGCGACAGTCCCCGGTCTCTTTATATTACTCTTTCATTACTAAGTTATGACTAAAGTGGGGAACAATTATTGAGTTCCAAAAAGGTAATATGTCACTAGCTATAAACCCTGCGAATGTTTGGAACCTAGCTGCTACGTTACTAGAACGTTTCAATATCGTTGCTAGAGCGTTATAATTACTTTTTTTTATTTGTTTTTACTTCTATATTAACTGTCTTTGTCAAACTTATATTAGATTATATTACCCCTTCTTTTTTAAATGGAACCACTACGGACTTGGCTTTTTAATGTCGTCGTTTATTAAATTACATATGTACTGGTAGTTTATAACTTCCAGAATAACAATATAATGTTTAATAATGCAGGTAAATTTATCATCAAAATCCATCAAAATTTATGTATAAACAAATTATTTATCTAATAATGTTTATAAATAAAAAAAATTTAATATTTATTATTAATTTTTTATTTAATTATTAACACCGTCTATTACCAACAAAATTACTATTTATTAAAAAGTAAACAACCATTTACAAACAATTAAAATAATTTATTATTTACATTACCACGTGGTACTGTACAGTAAAAAATGGCCGATAAGAAGCATTTTCCTTTGAAGTAGTTTTCACTACTTTAAAAAAATTTTCCACCTTAATTTACTTTACGGTAGTTTTGGTTAGTACCATAAACGTTTCAAATACTAAAATAATAACTTTTAAGTTATTAACTTTGTAGTTTTTAACCCATGTTCCAGTTTCGAGATTTTAACTTGCAAAGGTACTACACTGTAAAAATAATTATAATGTAATCTTTAGGTAGCAACCGAAAGTAACTGCTAGAAATAAAATTTACTTGAAAGTTTTTTTACTTATAAAACCTTTTTTAAAGTTGCAAAGTCTTCTTGAGGGCAACCAAGTTTTACTTAAATGTTTATTAGTTTATAGTAACCATTTAAGGAAAAATTAAGTTACTGTTACAAAATATTGCTATTTAAAAGTTAAAATTACTTTTAAGTAAAAATTAAAGTAGCTGTTTAGTATTCTTAACTAATTTAAAGTTATCACCACTTTGGTAATGGTTTTTGGAACCAAAAATGCTGCTTGGGCTATTTAACAACACAAGGTATTTTTTCTTTATAAAACTAGTTACGCCATCTGAAGGTATGTACTACCCCAGGTAACCAAACGTAACGAAAAAGTGACAGAAATTGTATGTATGTTTTCTTTATCGTCACGTGTATAATCGTCGAAACTATATCAATTTTAAACTCAAATTTTTCACAAAACCGCTCACCTGCCGTTATAACGTGATCGTCACGTTAGCGTTATCGTGATTTTAAACCGAATCGACATAACGTTTACGTGACGCTGTAATCGTTACTAAATCAACACGAAAATACAGTTATATTCGATTTTGAATTTGTGACCGTATCTTTAACGAGTGGCGGCTGGTGGATTTTTGGTATACCGGTATACCAATATCTCAGTTATTATACATAGGACCCAAACCAAACTTTTATGAGTTTATAATAATATTAAATTGAAGTTTGCGAAAAAATAATTTTTTTCGGCCCAGTCCCCTGCCCCCCTAATTAAGATAATGCAAATTAAAGTGGTGCTATTAATAACTCAGTGCAGTTGATCGACAAATTTCAAAATTTATTTCAAATTCCAAGTAGAATTTATACCATTTAAACTTTTTTTTATCCTAAAATAAAATTTAAAAAATGGTATAATATTTGTAATCTTGGATTTTTTAAATAAATTTTGAAATTTGTTATAAACTATAGTGAGTTATTAATTGCACCACCTTAATTTGAATCATCTTAATTAGGGGGGCACGCTGAAAAACTTAATTTTTTCGCAACAATTTTTAATTTTATTACAACTTCATAAAAGTTTTGGGTCCCATGTCTAATAACTAAGATATCAGTATACCCCAAATCCCCCAGTCGCCACTAGTGACTAGTGACAGCTGTCTTTAACTAATCTGCTCGAGTCTCAGATTGCTGGAATTAGTCCTAAATGTTTACTATAGTAAGCTTTAGCTATATGTATATTTTAAATAATTAAATAAGCACAAAACACTGAAATGGAACAGGTTTCAGAAGAATTTATGATTAATTAATAATAATACCTTTAACAAAACAATATATTTCTCAAAACAAATTATAAAAACAATAAAAAACTAAATAAATAACTCTAAAAAAATATATTCTTCTTCAAAGGATAAAAACCAAATAAATAATTTTCTAAAGCATATATTCAGTCAATATTTTTTCTTCTATTCGACATTTTGCTGTATTTCTTTTTTCTTTTGCTGAAAAAAAGTATTAATGTGAACACTAGTTATATACCTCCTCTACATAATAAAGTAAACAGAATTTTTGCATAATTAAGTTTTTAAATCAAAACCACTTAGGTACCTACCCAGAGAGCCATATCAGGTTAAAACATGGCCAAGAATTGCCCATTACCTTTGGAAAAGTTTTGCCAATAAATGTACTATGTAGGACTGTATATTCCTATGGTATTTGTGCAATCGCGATGGCCAACAATAAATGACCAAATTGTGCCCAATAATATGCCAAAGCAGTTTGGATAAATTAGGTAGGTTACCGTTGGTTTAATTTTGGGAATGTTTGGGCATGGAAAATGGATGACAAATTTTTTATGTTTATTTGGGCAATTAGGCTTTTGAAAAATTGACCAAATATTGGTAAATATTTGGACAAATCCAAAGTATTAACAAATATTATTATTATATTTGAAAATTGGGTAAATAAAAAATTTTGTATTTATATTTTTTAATAATAAAAAAATAAAACAGTATGTTTCAATACTGGAACAGAGGTCAAAAATAAAATTAAAAAAAAAACAAATTTATAAATAAAAAATATTTAAAATAATCAAAATTGGAAAAAAATATTGTTTTTTTATGTTGAATCCCAAGCAGTGATTGTTTTTTTGCAATAAGGCTTTTTTTTTATTTCGGACCCGTTGCTTCGCGTTGTTTAAGGCCACGTCAAAGGACCTCTGGAATTCTAAAGCCCCTGGAGGAGGAAATTTATCATGTTCATGTAAACTCTCTAAAAAATACTTTAAGTAACAAAATTGTCTAGGAAATAATATTAAAATATAAAACATACGGTGAATGGCTTGTACGATTTTTGTTTTGGACACTCCAACACCAGCACGTCCAGTGCGCGTTATTTTGGAAGAAACTTCATCTGAGAAGGCTTCTTTGACAATTAAATTCACGCTGCCTACGACGTCATCGTCAGCGACAAATTTAAAGTAGCTAACCTATAACATAACAATATAAAAACACAAGTCTTAAAACGTATTTTGGAAGTGAAAACCTTTTTTTAATACATGTTTACAAAAAAGTGTTATTTTTCTATGAAGAATGCACTGTTTAAGTTTGGCCCCCTAATTTCAGGACACCCTGTATACCTATCTATAGATTTCTTTAAGTGCAGATGTATATACAAGAATATTCTTGGTTGAGTTTTTCTTGTTTGACGGGTCAACACAAATTGTGTTACACAATTTTTTAAATTAAATTACCTATGTTACGTTTCATTACATTACTTTAAATGCTGGCTAAATCCACCTTTATACTTGTTATAATATTATGATACAAATAGAATTACGATCAGGCTATCAAGAATTATGCTTTATTAAACATTAAGAACTTATTGTAAAATAGTTTGTGATTGGTAACTTTATGTTATGAAGAACTTTAAAAATAAAAAAGAAATAAATTTTTAAATTCAATAAAAAAATTGCAATTACCTTGCTCACTTCTAGCACGATAGATCTTAAAACCCAATAAATCCTCTTTTTCCTTTGTGACATATAGGTAGAAAATTTATTTTTAAATTGTCCTGCTTGTAGTAATTACTTTTAAAAGCCTATAGGCTATAGTACCCATAAACACTATTTAAGTACCTAGAAAAAGGCAGTTATTTTTCTTCACTGCAACTTCAAGATGAAAATCTGTAACAATTAACAAAAAATAAGTACATAATATAGAACTAGCAATGTAAATTTATATTACCTACTTCAAAATTAATAAGGGAATAAAATCTTCGAGAAGTAAGAAATTGTATAATAATTGAATGTTTTATTAAAAACTTTGAAAACAATTACTAATTACTTACTCAAAATTTAAAGCCGTTTAAAACTTAACACGTTTAGTTAGTGCACAGATGATTATATTTTTTTGTAATAACTATCACACAAGCACTTTTTGACGCCTTTTTGTAGAGAAGGTCTTGAAATATTAACGACATACAACTCGCCATTGCGATTCTTTTTCCATGCTGATCAATTATTTGCCAAGTTTCGATCAATCTGAATTACAAACGCTTTGCCAATTTTCGACCAAACTTCATTACAAACGACGTTGGCCAATAATAACTCTATCTAGGACTGAATATTTGTGTAGTTGTTGTGCTATCGCATTGGAAAATAATTTGGCATAAAACATGTCAATTTTTGGTCAAACTTTATGAAAATACAATTAATATGTCCAAATAAACCCCAATAAATGTAAAATATCGTAGTCCAAACTTAGTTGGGAAAAAGTTGACTAATTTCTTTCCCAAAGCATGGCTCTCTGGGTAGGTACTTGTTAAATATTTAGGTAATGTTAAAAGGCATTAAAATAATAAAATGAATGTTAACATAACTTATAATTATTTTTATAGAAATACAATATGAAAAACAATACTTACAATTAACGCCTTCCAAAGAAAATAATATATAATAAAAACTATAGTTTATAAACACAAGCTAATAATTTTTAAATAAACCAATTTCAAAACAAATTAGTTGCACGAAAACACTAAACAGAACAAAATCAGATCAATATGGCGAATTGAATAAAGAGTTAAGAGGGTAGCTAAAGACACGGTAAATCGTAAAGTTAAAGTCACCGTATACCGTGACTTTTGTTATAACGTTATAACGTGACAATAAAGTCACGTTTATATAACGATTAATTTAGCAAAGTAAGTCTATGGAAAATCGTGAAAGCATTGGTAAAGGCAGATTCTATATCAAATCGACATCTCCAAAATTATTAATTTTCGTTAAAGATATATAGGTCACAACTTTATAGTTAAGATATTGGCCACGTTAACGTCACATTTAAAAATGTTAGTCACGTTTGGTTACCTGGGACTGTTCCATTAAAAATCCTTTCTGATTTTTGTCAATACCCTTTCTTTTTTTTCGAGAAATCTTTAGTCGAAATGTTTTGATTAAAAATTTTATCGATTTCTTGGAGAGTAACAAAACGAGTTTTTTTTTATTTTACGGATCAAAAACTTTTGGAAAAGTATAGTCTGATTTCAACAATATAAGTTGATTGTAGACTTGTGATAAATGAACACCCTGTATAATATAAAAATAATTACCGCTCCAATCATTCATAAGAACAAATCCAAAGATGTGTTTATTTGCATTGTCTGCTGTAACTACATCTCCTAAATTTGTTGAACCACCAACAAAAAATGCCATTTCCAATTCAAAGTCCATGAGTTTGCAGGTTCCAAATACAGGGGGAGCACCTTGAAAAAGAAAATTTACCAATTACCAAAGTATAAAAGAACTTTCCAAAATTCTAGGATTAAACGAATTTCTGGAATACCCATTAGATTCGATATTTTACTTTGATTAACCAAAAATACTAAATATATTTTTAAAATTTGCTCGTTGTAACCGATTTACCTTCTATAGCTAAAGTTTGTCCATGAGGTCTGTGTATTGAAGTTCCAGAAACTACCACAGAGCTGGCCCTGCCATGGTATCCCACAGGAAGGTATTTCCTATACAAAAAATTTTAATTAAACCAAACTTTTTAGTGACATAATTTTTTACCAGTTTGGCATAAGTGCATTTTCTTTGCTTCTAAACATGACTCCAACATTGGTGGCATGATGAATTGAAGAATAGAAGTCTGTGTAATCTCCAATTTTGGCTGGTAAATGCATTGTAGCTTCAGATTGTGGTACAAAAGCCCTAAAATTTATATTTTGTTGTATTATGTTACCATAAACAGTCAATTTTTATACCTTGATCGTAAATCTCCGTTGTTCTGCAAAAGTGGATTTTCTACTGAAAGTAAACTTTGAAGGGTTTCTCTTGCCTCTTTCCAAGCTTTTTGGCTTAACCCCATAAAACTGTTTAAAGTGGACTAAAAATACAAAATTAGATCTAAATGATAATACTTTTATAGGTTTTTACATCTTTAAAAACATGTTGGTGATTTATTAGCTCAGGTCCTGCAAATAAATGAGCTATTTCGTGTAAATCCAGGATTTGATCACCTATGGCAACTCCTATGTGGTGAATAGGCTAAAAACAAAATATTTCAATTTTTATACAAAAGTTATATGTTTTTAATTTTTTTTAGTTACACCTCTCTGTCATAGGTAGCGCTGCAGTCCATAACTGCTATCATAAAGCAACAATAATGCATGAGGTGACTAGACAGATTATTTTGTGTTTTTGTATTAAATTTTAATATTTCACATTGTACTTACTGTTTTATTTGTTGAAAACACTCCATAGGGCAGATTTTCAATGGGGAAATCACAGTATTTTGAATAAGGTATATAACTTTTCATTTTTAATGTTGTTTGTAATGTTTACAGATCGGAACGTTAGTTAACACTAATCAAGGACTTGTTTTCTTATTTATCATCTAAATTCGTGCATATCATTTATATTTAATTTATAAGTTGGAAAACTGGATATTATTTATTCCTTAGTCATAAGTAGGTACCTACATAGGTATTTTTATTATTTTATGTTCAATGCATTGTAGTTAAAATATTTTTTTAAATCAGTTTTTAAGTTTAGCTACAATTAAAAATGTTACAATTTTTCAAAATGTGGCCTAATTTTAGTGATTAAATAAAAAAATCAACATAATCGTAGAGCAAAAATTGTATAAATTTATAAAATTTCGAAAATATGAATAAATATGATATTAATTATAATAAATAAGATGGTAATTTAAAATTACTAATTTCTGTCAAATTAACATTTTAAGATAATAAATTTGTGATATTTGGATAGGGCTTATGTATATTTTAAAAGGCCCCAATTAAAAATTATGTTATTTTTGGAATATGATTTTTAGGATTTTTGTTTTATTATTTAGTTGTTTACTGCTTATATAAACTTAAAAGTTTCAAATATTTTTAAATTGATTGGGATATTTAAATAAAAAAAACATTTTTGTTGGTATTATTTATTTTAAATTCTACACATATTTAAATAACAACTATGTTATATCTTACGAAGTGCTCACAACATTCGTTGTTTGTTAAAAGCAACTAAATTAAATGGCATATTTAATTTGTCTAAATTTCTGTATTTTGCGGTGGTTAGCGCGTTATATATTTACTGGCATCTATACTTGTATATTATGTAAATATCTTTTTTCTTTTCATAACATTTTTACAACATACAAAATGAAATCTATCTGTATATGGAAGACAATGATTTTGTTACATTACGGAAGACTATTCAGTCTGCATTTGTACATTCTTCAAGATAATAATAATACGTTTGAAATAAATTAACTAAAAAATATCGCACTAAAACATTTGATTTAAATTTATTTACAATTATAATTATAATTTTCTAGGGAATTTATATATTTGGCAGTTTTAACAATATGTACATCTAATATTTATAAAAAATTTACAAAACAAAATATTTTTTTTAGTATTGGTATCTTACTGGTCCTGCCAGGTTGGTTATAAACAATTAACAATCTGTGTAGATATAATTATGTTTTTTATATAGATAATTAAAATAAAGTAATGTATTCATTTTTATATAAGCACCCTATATCATGGAAGGTTTCTCAAGTATAATTGCTAGAAAAACTACCAAGAAAAAATAATAAAACCGAAATTTTTCTATACAATTATTGCGTCAGCTACACATTGTTACCATATTAGAAATATACGCTACGCACACCAAGTGGTTTTCATATATTGAATAAGATATATTTCTTATATTAATAGACATATTTATAACAGATAGGTATTATAGTCATAAACATAATATTAGTACCATTTTTTTTTCTTCAAATAGTCAAACAGTTTAAACATCTATAAACGCACATTTAGGAACAACAAATTTTCTCTCAAAATTGTTAATGTTACTATACTAGAGTGATATGTTTTTAAATGATCTTTTTGGCTGTATAATTTTTAGACATAACCATAAGTTTTAATGATGAAAAACTTTTTTGTCTTTTAATAATTTGACAATTTTTAGTCCAGTTGTTTTTTTTCACGGGACTTTTTTATATTGACCATTTTGTTTGTTCCAATTGACACCTTTTTGATAATGTGACAATTTATTGACCAATAAATTTCAATTTAGGTATAATAAACATTTTAACAAATAACATTTTATATACTATCCTTATTTCTTAACTAAGAAGTATTTTGAGAGAAAATTTAACTTGGAAATACAATAAAACATCTTATAATTAAAATACTCATTAAATAACTTTTCGCTTTAAAATACTTAGAGGTCGTGTCCCAAACGGTCCATCTCGTTCAGTAAAAAGTCGATATCTTTTTCAGTCACTGCAGCTGACGAAATGATGTTCCTAAAGAAGTTTGGTCTTCTGTCGTCGGGTTGGTAACCCACCATCAATGTTCCTGTTTGCATCATTCGTGCTTTCAGGATTGGGCACATCTGAAATAATTTATTTATATCGTAAAACGAAAGTATACTAAAAACAAATTTTTGAAAGAATCGATTCTTTCAAAAATTTGTTTTTAGTATACTTTCGTATATACGATATATAGATATACGATATATAGATCTATAGAAAGTAACACTTGTGCAGAAGTGTTATTTCCCACAGATTGCACTAAATCTAACTTTAACATTTATTTTAAACAAAACTAATGGTTTGGTAATTGATGACAAAAACCTTAGACTAAAGTGCGGGAAGACAGCATATACATATACATATAGGATTGTTTAGTTATATTTAGTGCAATCTGTGGGAAATAACACTTCTGCACAAGTGTTATTTTCTATAGATTCTTTCGAGAAACCAAAGAGGATCATTTTGATTGCTTGGAAATTAAATATTGCTGTATATTTTTATGGAAATCTCAAAAACAATGTTTATCTAGTACTCCTATATTGACGAGCTCTTATAAGAGTATACTTTATGGCTTTTAGTCAAGGACTGAAGTTAAAAACAGTCTGAAGTTAGAAACAATCGTAACTAAAATGGCCTTTATAAAACTTGATACATACTATGTAGCACTTTTTAAAATTGTCATGTTAAATTTCGTGCTGACAACTTAAGAAACACAAAAATATTTTGCAATTAAAGCAACAAATTAACAATTTGTATTGTTACTTATTTACCTTTTATGTTGTTTTTAGTTTTTAATGATACTTTAATTTGTAATAAAGTATTAATATTTTTATTAAAATACAACGATATATTTTTACTACATTGGAACCGCTGAATTTGGTGTCACGTCCTACAATTTCTACAGGTTAAACCACAATTCACACATGTGTGGATTGTGGGTTAACCTGTAGGCAAACTAGGCAAAAACCTAGGGCGGCAAAGTCAGGGGGCGGAAAAAATCATTTGGGTTAAAATATAAAAATAAATATAAATTGGTTGAGACCAAGCTACAAGTTCGAATTTAAGTTATGACAAAAAATGGAAACACTTCTTATTGAATTTACACGGTGGTTATGTAAAGCGTGATTCATTTAGAACTTTTTTTTTAAATTCTAAATTAAACGCATAAAAGGGAATTGGATGGCATAATCTTTATTATGACCTGAAAAAACAATCTTTGACAATTATTTTTTGAAAATAATTTCATTCTGAAGGTCCAATTTTTGATCACTCTTTCTATAGCTATAGCATTGCGACCGGTATCTGCCCAATTACGCTTCTATGTCCTGAATCGTAGCTGGCTTATCGACGAAGACTTTTGATTTAACATGACCCCAGAAAAAAGTCGCGTGCTGTGTGTCCCAGACTGCAATGAAGGTTCGAAAATATTCCCTATCGCCTAGGAATACTCCGCTTCATTCTAGGAATATTTATTGGGAATATTCCTAGAATGATCCTCTAAAACTTCCAAGCATCATCTAAGAACATTCCCAGTGAATATTCATTAGTTTAGTTGCAATACCTCTCACCGTTGTTTACGCACGCTTGATAACTATATATACCGATAGGTTAATAATATCAGTTGGAGATGTGCGTCTGTGATGGCACAGCTAAACAATGATTAGAGTGGGACTGATCTACTCAGTAACTCAATAATGGCTATACTTAAGTTAAGTTCCTGGGTATAAGAGGCAATAAGGGCTGGGAATAATCCCCAAATTATATCAAGGAATATTCCCCTAACAATCCTTGAGTCTTCTGCAGGCAGATATATGGAATATTCTTTTTATGATGCCTGGGTTAACCAAAAAGCGGACATTTGATTATGCCAGGAATATTCCTGGGAATATTCTTGGACGCTTGGAATATTCCTGACATGTGCAGGGAATGTGATTTTTCTAGGGTGCCGTCGTGGCCAGCATTTAAATTAAATTATTTTCAAAAAATAAATGTCAAAGATTGTTCTTTCAGGTAATAATAAAGATTCCACATTCCAATTCCATTTTATGCGTTTTATTTAAAATTAAAAAAAAAATGTCTAAATGAATCACCCGTTATAAAGATTATTTATCAAAGGAATTTGCGATGAATTAAATTTTCCAGCCTTATTTCAATTAGAGTCACAACCAATCCGTTTGAGAAAAAAGAAAACGCAATTCCCCTACGAGGCTGATGATGAGCCTATACAAGACGCAAAGCAACATTTTAAAATTAACATCGGTAACTGAAAGATTTACTCAGACAAATCAAATATCGAGTATTTTAAATCATTGTCTCCTAATCCTAAAATATAATACCTAATTCCAAAGATATTGATGCTACGGAACTCTGTGATGAGCTTGCTAGAGGCATATGCCAGCTATATAGAGCCAAAGGCTACACCGCAAAAAGTTTTTTTGTGTGAGCACAAACTTAAAGAGATTTTGCCCAATTTAATAACATCGTTGCAAATTTTGTTGACTCTTCCTATGTCGGTAGCCAGTGGCGAACGTAGTTTTTCGAAACTAAAATTAATAAAATCCTATATCAGATCGACAACAAAACAGGATAGACTTTTAGGACTTGCAACCGTACCTATCAATAGAAAAAGATATTGCTCAAACTAGTCTAAATGAACTTGTATATTACCTTCCAAGTTGAAAGCGAGAAAAAATAAAATGTAAATTTGTATCTTTGCATCCTTATTTATTTATTTAAATTAAATGATATTTCCGAAATTAAAAAACTTTTATTATATTTTTTCATTACCTACTGATTTCTCCTAAAATATATTTTACGGCTTATGCATTTTATGTTAATTATAAAAAAAGTAAATATGGCATAGTTTTTTTTGGTCATAATAAACAAAGTTTGTTTGTTTAACAAACTATAAGATTTTTTGCCTAGGGCGCCAGGTTCGCTTGCGCCGGCCCTGCCTACTGTCAAACAACTCTTTAAATGGATACCTACTACCATGAAGTACTTACTAGTACTTTTAGTACTTCATGCCTACACTGAGTATGAGTATGAGTATAAGAGACGTATAACCAGCCCCATTTCCTCTTGACTCTTAAACCCCGTACAGGCCTATGTTTACTTACGCCGATTTTTGTTCTTCCCCAGCAACTGCACGGCTTCACCCGTGTTTGCTGGGTGCGAATGTCCATTGCGTTCTGTACTGTCCCCTATTTGGGGCTCGAGAGCGAGAGGCGAATAGTTATAATAGCCGTTCCCGGGTTCGCCGGGCCTATGCTATACGCTCAGTGAGGTATGGATGAGGGACGGGAGGGAGTTGGTTTTTGGGGGACAATTACGCCGACTTAAAACTAAGTACGACGCGGAATCCCCCTAGACCAGTCGGTTAGTATTACTCCAAACATTTGGGATTACTATTTGGAGTTGGGGAGTTGTTATTACGCTGCAGGGGTGTAGTTTCCTAGTCGAGGTCTTCGTCTTGTTCATTATTGTCATTATCCGTGTCGGATAGTTCCTGAACTTGGTAAAGTGTGTCGGTTGTTTTTTTTTTTTTTTTTTTTTATTTTTATTGTTGTTTAGTTGCTCCCAACTGGTCTTGTTACTTTGTGAGAAGTGCATGTATTGTGCTACGTGTCATGAAATGTGAAGCATGGTCTACCGATTTTTTTTGTCTTTAAGATCTAGTTTAAGGGTGGCTTGTAGTTTGTTGCGTTGTCTACGAGTGACGTGGACCCAGTGTTTAATTGGGCTACTCTTACCCTTTTGGTAATGGTTTTTCCCATTGGTACGATAATCGGCACACATGATAAACTCCCCCGCAAAGAAATACAACCCCCCGCGGCCCCCCCGGAAGACAATCCACACAACGGCAATCGTGCTACGACTACCGCCGTGTAGACCATCCCCCGTATAGGCCACGGGAGGCTGCACCCCCCCGCGGAGGAGCCCATCACTCGTGCCGAGCGTAAGGCCGCAATCACTGCGATAAGGCAGTTCCCAGTGGGGGTATTTTTTTTTTACTTTTACAAATTTTATAATTTTTTAAAAGTTCGCTTCTTTCTCTTTTACTTTTTTTTTTTATGATTAAATTATAATAATTATTGTTACATAATTATTACAATTATTGTAACTTAATTCCGAAAATTCGATAATTTTATTTACCCAATTCGTTAATTTCAACTTTTACATCTGGCAATACTGCTATTCACACTCAACTTGTTTATGTTTTTTGTCTTCTTGCATATTTAGTTTATTTATTTATTTATCTTACGCCTTTTTCGATGGTTGTTTATGATTTGTCTGCTATGAGAAAATGAGGTTGTTTGTTTAAACTTAAGGAAATGTTCTTATTCTTTTTTAATTTAGTTTTTGAGACAATAAGAATTCTTAGTATTTTCTTTTTGCAACATTGTGAAATGCTTACATAAACATTGTGAAATGCTTTTATAAACATTTAGCGAATATACGGTAAGACATGCAATTGGAAAAAATAACTTAGCTTGAGTCCAGTAAATTTCGTGGAAGTGTCGTCTCTCTCACACCTTTTAACCAGGTCCAACACTTGAGGATTTAATCAATGGGGGAGGTACCACACACAATTTGCACTTTTTTGCACTTGGGACAGTTATCACGTTTAGAATCGATTGATTTTTTATTATTTTACGGCGTTAACCAGTTATCACGTTACTACATTTGTATCGTATACGCTGCTTAAGAGAGATCGATGAGCCTATGCTTACACTTCAAGCGTCAAGAGCAGAATGGTAGTACTTCATACTTTAGTACTTCATGCCTACACTGAGAAAAAAATGGGACAAATAAACTGTTTACCTAATACTTTTAGTTGTAGTGAATATATTGTTTATTACCTCTAAATAGTCGAAATAATAACGATAAATATACTTTAGTAAAACTTTATATGTCGGGAATAAAAATATATTTAGGATAAATAAACTGTACCTACCCTTGTCCCATATTTAAATATTTTTTTTATTTGGGAACAATAAACTTTTTTCTCCGTGTACTACAATAATTGTCAGCCCGAACTTAAGTCCAAGGTTTAAATTTAAGTACCTATAAGTTTACTAAAATCGTTCACAAATTAACTATAGAAATGAATTATTAATTTCTATAATTTGTGAACGATTTTAGTAAAATTATACTTAAATCCTTGGACTTATAAATTGTAATTTCGGGCTGTTAGATGCGCTAAATAAACTTTTTACCTTTCCCAATTCCTGTTCCCTGCTTGGTGAGTGGGGCATTCTGCGTAGTCTTGTGGGAATGTACCAAAAACTAACGTTAACTAACTCGGGTTCGAGAATTAAGTAAAATTTGTCTGGTTGATCCCTAATTCTCTTCACCATAAAATCAGTTAACTCAAGAAGACGGTCCATGTGCTCTTCAAAACCATGATCTCCCTAAAAATGTTTTATTAATTTTTTTCGACACGCCACTGTGTTGTGAAATTATTGAAAACGCCGATAATCGCATAAAATTATTAATATAATCGATAAAAAATGTAAATACACTGCACAAATAAAATTCAAATAGCAATTACAATGCGTACACTACTAATTTAGCGGCTTTAAAGCACTCAAATTGAACTGTGCATTCATATAGCGTTTTAACCGTTCAATATATATATCTCCCCAGTGGCGCAATTGGTTAGCGCACGGTACTTATAAGACAGTAGTCGTGAGCGATGCCGGGGTTGTGAGTTCGAGCCTCACCTGGGGAATAACTTTTTTTATGCCTAAAAAAATATGTTTTTGTTACCTTTGCTCTCCATTGCAACCACAACTTGAAGATGTCGTTGTGGCGACCGCATTGGATGACTTTGTCGCCGGTATCGTATTTGATGTCGTAGAGTTTGTCTTGCATGAAGAGGTAGTCGGCCGACATTTGGTTGCAGCTCATCAATAGGCCCTACAATATTTTTTTGAGTTATAATTTTTTCAAGTTTTGTTTTTTTTATCTTACATCTTCCTTAAAATGTATGGTGGAGCATTGAAGTAAAGCTCCCATGAGTTTGTGTGGATTCCATGTTACAGAATCGGCCCTATAAAAAATGATTTTGATTAAAAAAAACAAATACATTAAATAACATAGATATACATTTAAAATGAATTAAAAAAGTTTTATACAAATTGGATAATTGTTTCTAATTTCTAAAATATTTCTAAAAATACATTTCTAAAAATATATTGGGTTTCACTTTTGAAATTTTTATGGCATAAAATTATCAGGTGTTTTTCAGATATTTATAATTTTTATTGATTTTAGTGTTTTTCATAAATTAAGTTGTTACATTCTTTTTTATACTTCTATAGACCTATAGGTACCAGTAAAACGCCCATTACAATGAAGAACAAGAAAATAAAGCAGAAGAAGTGGAAGGGATGGAATTCTCCTGCAATGAATCAGATTACTCAATGTTTTGATATAAAAAAGTTTTTTAATAATAAAATTAATACAAAATAAAAACTCTCTGTACTTTTCTACAATTCTATTTTATCTATTCAATTTTTTCCTACTGATTTTCCAAAGATTTCGGCAAAAAAATTGGTGTTTAGTATGAAAAAATAAATATTTTGGAAAATCTTGTTTAAAAATTGTTTTCCAGCAAATACGTAAACTTAAAGTTCAGTTTTGTGTGCGTATTTTATAAATTACTTCTTTTAGTATACTTTACAACATTTTTGCCAGAAGTACCAAGATATTTTAAATATTATCGAAAAATTGAAAAAAAAAAATTTCGAATATTTGGTCCCAAAAATTGGGTTTTGGGATATAGGTTGTTCACAAAATGGGTTTATTTGTTCAGTAACTACATTTCTACAAAAAATCTTGACGATATAAATCGAATATATGCGAAAAAATCGATTAATAAGTCTAAATTGGGGTACCTATATGAAGCTAGAAAATACAAACGGCCATAAAAAAAGAAATCGAGCTAACTTTTACAAACTCAACGAAGGTTTTGCTATTGGATAGGTATATTTTCAGAAAAAAATAGTCCGGTGCGGTTTGATTTTTGGTGTTGCACAGTGTTATTAAAGATATTTCCTTGACACAAGTGATCTTTTAAATACATATTGACAAGCTATGGCTTCATGACGCTTTAGTTACGGACTGAAGTTAGCAACAGGTTTTTAATCACGGGCTGAAGTTAGCTCCAAGTGACTGTTGTCAAATGTCATCCAATCGTTAAAATAAAGTGCCCTTCCTGTGAAATAATACTAAATGTGAAAATTATCGTATTATCTTCAAAAATTCAAAATAGTATATTATGTTTAAGTTTTATAAACGCCATTTTATACACGAATTTAATTTAGGCACGAGCGAGCTTGCGAGCGAGTCCTTAAATTAATGAGTGTTTAGAAAAGTTTATAAACGAGGTGCATACTTTACTTTTTATACGACAAATACTTATTATTATCTTAAAATGATTAAAATCAAAAATTTGTATAGAGCGCCATCTATGAAACAATAGGGGAATCTGTGTGTCACCGTCAAATGTCAATTTTTTTTATTTTATAAACCGAATATAAAGGTTATAAATCGAAATGTATTTCTTGAAAATGGACAGTTTTTTACAGTGAAAGTAAAGAAAATGTTTTATGAGCACTTTACAGTGGGTCCGTGCCCGAATTTAAGTTAAAGTTTACTGCCGGCGAAATTAAAAGGTCAGTACAATTTTCATATAAACTTTTCAAATATTGGCTTTGAGAAACTATTTAATACTTTTGTATTTTTGTATTGAGATAATAAAATTCACATTTAGTATTATTTTAACGCTTGTATGACATTTGACAACTGTCAACTAACTTAAAACTAACTTCAGCCCGTGACTAAAAACCTGTTGCTAACTTCAGCCCGTGACTAAAGCACCATAAAGCCACAACTTGTCAATGTGTATTGAAAAGGTCACTTGGTGTCATGGAAACATGTACGATAAAGGGCGTTTTAAAGGTGGGAGTAGCAAAAAGTATTAATTAGTTTCTCAACGCCAATATTTAAAAAGTTTGTACTGACCTTTTAATTTCGCTAGACTGTGGCCGGCAGTAAACTTTAGATTTAGATTTTTAGATTTAACTGATATATCTTTTATAAAGCATAACAAATTTCGGGTGGAGACTCCACAATGGAGTGCCCATAAAAATTCTTCTTACTTTCGCTGTGAAAAACTGCTTCCATATCGGATTTAAACGGTTTTTATTCCATTTTCAGGGGATACATTTCGATTTACACATTTTTTTTGTTGATATTTGCCGCCGGTAATACAGATCCCCATTCTTACGGTTACTCTATTTTTGTATAGATGTCGCTCTATACAAATATTTAATTTTAATCATTTTTAGATAATAATACTTATTTGTCGCATAAAAAGTAAAGTATGCAACTCGTTTATAAACTTTTCTAGACACTCATTTAATTAAACACTCGCTCGTGCCTAATTTAAATTCGTGACTAAAATGTATTTTTATTTTTCTTGTTATTAACCACACAATTTTATATTTTTTCTGTTTTAACTTCATATTAAAAACAGCCTCCGTAGCTCTTGGAAAAAATCAATATTAACGCGATCAGACAGAGAGAGAGACCCTCCCCTAATAAAACCTCTGATAAGCTGTAAAGTGTGCATCAATTTGCATCAAAGCTACTTATGGGTTTAAAAACACTTCTTCACTATGAAATTGCCAAAGGCACTCAGGGTTAAAACGCTTCTCGATTGACTTAAACTCCATCCATTACATCGAGCCACCTAGAGCTCTCACCCAGGTCAATCATAGTTATGATAATCAAGTTAGTTTTATTTTGTTTTTTGTTAAATATATGCATATATGCATCTTTTCTGTATAACCCTTATGTTTTTGCATTCTTTTTAAATAAAAATGCAGGGTTAAACTTTGGCAGCAGTTTGCGTCCACAAAACAGTTACAAAGAGCAAAACCATGTTGGAAATCTGAACGTAATCCATGATTACATGGGAATTTCGCAGCTGGTGTCTTTCATTTGAACTGACACAAGATTACTTGATGAACTTTCAGTTTAATTGCAGATCCCCTGTCAGTTATCTTCAATAGAAACACACCCTGGTTTCACAACATATCTAAACACTTTTAAACAACTATTTTAACGTTTTATTTTAATTGAGTTTTTATATCTTTGGAATTGTCTCAAAAAGACTGTGGAATTTACTTATTGAAAAAAATTAATTACCTAATGATCAAGATATTGAAGGGATAATTTTAGTGAATTTAACGATTTTAGAAAAATTCTAATGAACAAATTTGGATCTACAAATTTTCCACCCTATCTACACGTTTTTAGGATTTCAATTTCAAGTTGAAAGCAATATCTTTTATAAATTAAGGATTTTGGTTGGTTTTAGGTGTACTTACTACCCAAGCAACAATTTAAGTATATGGGACTATTGAAGAAACTATAAAGTGTTTTGCGACAGTCGCCGGTCTTTTTATATTACTCTTTCATTACTAAGTTACGACTAAAGTGGGGAACAATTATTGAGTTCCAAAAAGGTAGCAAATATGTCACTAGCTATAAACCCTGCTACTATTTGGAACGTAGCTGCTACGTTACTAGAACGTTCCAATATCGATGCTAGAGCGTTATAATTACTTTTATTTATTTTTTTTACTTCTATATTAACTCTCTTTGTTAAACTTATATTAGATTATACTATCCCTCCTTTTTTAAATGAAACCACTACGGACTTGGCTTTTCAATGTCGTCGTTTATTGTTATGTACTGGTAGTTTATAACTTCCAGAATAACAAATATAATGTTTTATTAGGCAGGTAAATTTATAAACCCTTTAAATTTTACTGTTGAACTTATGAATTTAGTTTTTTTAAAATAAATGCGCTTCATCAATTTTTAAGTATAAACAAATTATTTATTTAATATTGTTTGTAAATAAAAAAATCTTAATATTTATTTTTAATTTTTTATTTAATTATTACTATTTATTAAAAAGTAAACAACCATTTACAAACAATTAAAATAATTAAATATTTACATTACCACGTGGTACTGTACAGTAAAAAATGGCCGATAAAAAGCATTTTCCTTTGAAGTAGTTTTCGCTAGTTTAAAGTTTTCTTCCACCTTAATTTACTTTACGGTAGTTTTGGTTAGTACCATAACCGTTCCAAATACTAAAATAATAACCTTTAAGTTATTAACTTTGTAGTTTTCAACTCATGTTCCAATTTCGAGATTTTAAAATGCAAAGGGACTACAAAGTAAATAAAATTATATTTAGGTAGCAACCGAAAGTAACTGCTACAAATTAAATTTACCTGACAGTTTTTTTTACTTATAACACCTTTTTTAAAGTTGCAAAGTCTTCTTGGGGCCAACCAAGTTTTACTTAAATGTTTATTAGTTTATAGTAACCATTTAAGGAAAGAATAAAGTTTCTGTTACAAAATATTTAGTTAGAATTACTTTTAAGTAAAAATTAAAGTAGCTGTTTGGTATACTTAACTAATTTAAAGTTTTCACCACTTTGGTAATGGTTTTTGGAAAAATGCTGCTTGGGTATCCTTTTTAAGGGAAACTGATGTATCACATTTTTTATCGAGATCGGAACCTATACCTCTGGTATACAGAGTGTCTCAGATTTTGATCGGGAAAATTAAGTTGTCGATAGAACAAAAATAAGAAGAACAGTTTATATAAACTTGCACCTATGTTTATACAGGGTGGAAAGTTATAAAAAAATTTCATAAACTCCTTGGCCAAATTTAATAAAACTTTTTAGGTTTTCAGTAATGAAATAATAGCAGTAATAAGCTACCTACTATGAAATTAAATTTAATTTAAATAACCCCAGGGGGGCGCTCGGGCATTCCAACTGGATATTTAAAAGTAAAATTTGAGAACGCTACTGCTTTAATACTATTTTTAAATTAATAATTAGTACTTTTTACGTAAACTAAAAGCTAAGGTTTGACTCAGAATATAGATACCCACTTTCTTGATCTGGACGGCAGATATAAAAGATAGATAGACTTTGTTTTATATTTAATAACTTAAATTTAAATTAATAAAATTGTAAAAAGGCCGTTAAGTGCACAACATAAAGCAGATATAATGGTTCTGACATCAGCTATATTAATTACTCGGTCATTAATCACATCTTTCGGCTGCAACGGGCTCTTTTATATCGAAGCCAATTCAAGCGCTGCGGCGTTCTTAAAACGGTTTGCCTTTTAATAGCGCTAATTTTCAATGGCTAAATTACCCACTTAATCAATCTTAACATTGTGTTTCTTACCGTTCTACTCCTAAGAGTCTTGGGTTTCTGTTTTTCTTGGATAGCAGTAAACCGCCTCCCCAAGCAGCCTAAAAAAAACATAAATACTTAATATTGTTCAGTTTAATAACACAGTGCCACACAAACTTACATCAACGTGTAACCACATTCCATATTTCTCGCAAATATCAGCTATTTCGTTGATGGGATCGAAGGCCCCCAAAACTGTGGTACCAGCAGTAACTGCAACGAAGAATGGGATATGTCCTCGGTTCTTCCTTTCGACAACTAAGCGTTCTAACTCTGAAGGAATCATGCGACCCTGCTCATCGGAAGCGACCATTACGCAGTTGTCTGTACCAAGACCGCATACTGATGCGCAAGATTTTACGGAATAATGACTCTAAAAACATAAATATCATCCTAAGTTTATATTATATATTCACAATGGTAAATAAAACAGTGGTGAGATACATCAACTTGCACTACTATTTTATTCATCATTTTGGATATAATCGAAATTCAATTTTTAAAGATAAAAAAGCTTAGTTGCTTTCGTGAAGGAAAAGGAAATAATGGTTTCACAGACAGGATATTAAATTTGTATTCAATTTTCTTTGCTTTCCTATTTATTACCTGATCAGACGTGAACATTACGAGCTGTCCTTGAATTGTGGCGATTCCTTTTTCTTTGTAGTTAGGGAACATCTTGTGTCTAGCGGCCAAAAAAGCATACAAATTGGATATGGAACCCCCTAAAAAGCGTTTTCGAAATGATTTATTTACCCCCTATTTGTTAGTTCATTTCATAAACAATATTTTGTGTGGTTCCTTTAAGATGAACAAACCCAATAAAAGTTGTTAAAAATTCTGGTTTAAAAGTTACCTCATCAAAAGTGGAAAAAGTACTATGAAAATGGGTTCAAACGTATGAAAAAGTGTATTATTCTTCAAAATTAGTATTCTTTTAGTTTTTGTTCTTTATTATGGATATAGCAAACATAGTTATATTTGAAAAATAAAATAAAAAACTTTAAATTACATCTCCTTTAAGATAGATAAAGTATACAATAAATCTTTTAAAATTTAGATTATAGATAAAGTACAATAAATCTTTTAAAATTTAGATAATAGATAATTTTTGAAGATATTAATTTAGAAAACCAAATATTATAAAATATTGTTTGTGCAGAGTTACATTTTGGCTTTGGAGCATTATTTTAATATTAATTTAAACAAATCTCTAAAACGTTTAGAGAAACATCCGTTTGGATTGAATATATTTGCACAAATTTTAAATTCAAATGTATGCCTTGTTGTCTACTAACTGATTTAACGGATTTACATGTTTGACTGTTAATTTGCAACTGAAATTAACTTGTTGAAACAACTTCAACATTCAACAATTCATCATAAACTTAAGCACTATGTAACTTGTGAAAGAAGACTTGATGTAAATGTTGTGTTTACCTGGAGCAAGAATGGAGTCTCCATTAACCCAGTTTTTGCCGATAATCTCTCTCATGTGTGTCATAACGACGTTTTCCATTAGAATGAACACGGGCGCGATCTCGTAAGTGAACATGTTCGTGTTTGCGGTGGCTGTTAGCCATTCTCCTGCCATGGAGACCAAGTCCAAGCCGCAAGACAGCTGGTTGAAGAATCTTGGATGACCTGGAACAAAGATGCAGTGGTGAATCCATAAGAATGCATAAGATTTGTTACAACGTAAAACATGAATTGTCACACCCAAGTAGCATTATAGTGACGAAAAATGATATCGTAACTTCAAATGAGTGGCAGTTACGTTAAAATAACCATGCAGATAAAATATCTTCATATTATATAAGCGTAGTTGTAATCATGTGATTTGCACCAGCAGAATATACCATAGTTTTATAACTTTTTGGTGTATCAGTTTTCGGAACTTTTACAAAACCTTGAAAGTGACAAATCCTATTTATACACTGTTATAAAAATCAGATTTGTTAACAAGAGTTTGAAGTTTGTTAATTTTATTTTGTAAAATTTTAACATATTTTTTTGTAGATTTTTTGTAGAAAACCAGGGATTGTAATTATTTAAAAAAAGGAAAATATTTTACCGAAAGTAATATGCAAAGTTATTAAGAAAGCATTTTAATTTCAAATGTTACAGATTATTTTGTTGATGTTTAACAAATTATTTCGATGAAAAAGTACAAGTGATTTCAGGCAGTCAATGAAAACGTTTTCCACTGACAATACGCATCAATAAGTTCAACTGACTTTAGCGTCTGCAACTTATATTTCTGCTTACTTTATTCTAATTCGTAACGTTTTCGTAACAACTGCCCAGAGTGTTTATAATATATTACCAGTAATCTGTTATTATTGTTATTCGGATTCCTTATACCTATTTAACGAGTGTGCGAAGTATCCGAAAAAGAGCCATCACTAGTTTTCAAACTGAAATTAGGGGTTATAGTGAAGTGGGTTAAAGTTACGAAATACATCAGTAAGTGTTGTAGTATTACTGATAATTATATTGTACCAAATTTCTTTATAATTTAATAATTTCAGAATGGTGTGTTATTTAATTGTGTGTATGGTATTTTTGTTTTCATGTATGTAGGTATGTGTTAATTTTTTTGTGTAGGAAATTGATTAATAAAGCAAAATTTCTTATCAAAATTCTTTTCATTTAAGTTCATAATTTCCAACAAATACTTTTGTAACTGGGTCTACAAAAAGGTTTGTAAAAATAAGGTCCTTTTTTAAAATTAGGGTTGAATTATTGACAGAATTTTGTTATTACATCTAATGCTTTTTATAAATAATTAAAAACTACTTATTCAATTAGTTAACAGATTACAGTTGGTTATAAACTTAACATAAAGTTATGCGGACCTGGATTTAGCAGACATGTTTAAAAATAGTCGCCATTGTGAGAAAATAAATGTATAGTTTTAAACAAATAATTTTGGTTAGTACCTACCGCACCAAATTTAAAACGTTAATACATAATTATTGGTTTCAGGTGACCAGAAATAATACAAAAAAATAGATAAATAATTTTCAGATCTGTTTAAAGATTTTTATATTCTTTTTCATTTACACATATTTCAACAGGGTGTAATTATATTTCGAGCTATGACACCACCCATGTTTGACAGTCAAATTTTATTCGTGTTAATTTTATGTCTTTAGATTATTTTAATTCTAGTTATTAATTGCAAATTTTATTTTTACATTATAATAATTTTAGTATTCAGTGTCAGCAAAGATAATAAAATATATAATATGCTGAAAAGAGACAGGGATAGAAAGTAAAGAGTAGTAATTTACTACTAGTAAAGTTTCGCTTAAGTTTGTTAAGTTGATATAAAAGTGTCGGTATAAAAGTGTCTGTATATATACAATTCAAGAACGTTGTTGGAACGTATCTGACAGTAACAGTTTTTACCAAGAGGTAGAGATTTTGACAATACACTTTACAGTTTCAACTATAAGTGGCCGATACGTTTTATCCACTAAAAATGCTACTTGGGACAGCGTATCAGATTTCTCAAAAGTATTTAAAAAAATGAAAAAATTCTTGTAGCTGGCTTATTTCTGAGTCTTGTAAAAAAAGCTATTGAGGCGATTACATAGGTTTACAAATATTTGGAGTTACATTACAACATATTTTCTCTTGGATTTTTTCAATATCCTCCTCTTATGATTTACCGGACAAGAGAAAAGATATTGAAACAATTTAAAAAGGATTTTAAAGGATTTTTTGGAACAAAAATTGTGATGTTACTAAACGCGATTTGCTTTGGTATGTTATTTTTTAAAAATGCATCTAAAGTTACAATTTAAAGACTTTTTCTGTTAAAATTGTGTTGATTCTTTCGAGCGTATGTCTCTGTTATTGCCCCGTCAATTCGTCTGATGTTTATCCCAGGAAAAAGGGATTAGGCCTAATCCAATAGGTCACGTGTCGCCGGTGAAGGGTGCTCACTATCCGCGAGTAATGTCTTTGTTTCAACTCCACTGACATTCAATTATTCTGAGCAATAGTCCGAAATAATAGCGGATTGATGGTCTGGATGTTTTACAGGATGGATTTCCATTAAATGTACGTACGATGCGAGTATTGTATGTGGGGCCCGGCTTTCCTTTGTAAAAATTCGATTCTCGATGCTGATATCAATTTTCATGGAAAGCGGGTAGGATATTGCAAAAGCCAAACCTAATATCAAGATTTATATTTTATTGGAAATAAAAAGAAGTGTAAGTTCCTAAAGGATTCTTGCTATTTTATATTTTATATTAGTTTTATTTTTTGCGGGTTTTGTGATATTGGACTTTGTATCATGTATGTAATTCGAATTTTTCTTTATTTTATTCTAATTTTTGACGTTACCAAAGTTAATGCAAATCATGATATAAAAAAGTCATACTCCTTGATACGAATCAGAAAAAATGTAAAGAGATTGATAAAAATTATTAAAACGAATGAATGCTTCTACTGAAACAGATGGTGTCTGTAAGTAGTAACAATTTCCTGCAGCAACATTTCTAATGGACGTCGGATAATCCTAAGTTTGCGATTAACTTGTACGCTATAATAAAGGCATACTGCTGCAGCAGGAATATAATCGTAAAAGGGAGAACCGAGTGGCAGGAATCGCGCTGTTCTTTGCTAATCTGTAAGCGAAAGCGACAGGAATCGTGTCCATCGATTCAGAAAATCACACACTAAAGACATGCCATGCCGGTCCGTCGACCCTCATGCTGCTGCAGGACCTCTCTCCTGCAACTGTTCCACGAGTGTTTACGTCTGCCACATATGCAATTGATTTATCTTCTTTAATATCTGGGTTTTATCGATTAATAAAAGTATAATAACATCTAAGTATGTCTACTTTATATACAGTGTGGTTCTCATCTATGAAATAATAGTATATTATGTATCAAGTTTTATAAACGCCATTTTGTTTAATAAAAACAAGTGTCTAGAGAAGTTTATAAAACGAGTTGCATACTATACTTTATCTACGACGAACAGAAATAAAAATTTAAAGCCAATTTTAATTTAAAAATATTTTACCTTTAAACCCTCACTTTTTCGCAATTTATAATAAAGCTAACTTCAGCCCGTGACTAAAATTCCCAAAAGCCACTGTTGTTAACTTCAGCCCGTGACTAAAACGCCATAAAGTCACAGCTCTTCAATGTAGGAGTAGATAAAATTCGTTATTCGATGAGAAAAGATTTTTATGAAAAACTTTTGGACACTCTTGTAATTGTAATTTTAAATATTTAGTCCCCAACATTTTTCCCAGCCACATTATGCACATTTATCTTAAATAACAACACCAATTTTTTTCATCGAAAATTGATAGTCCACATTTTTCTTAATACGACGATACCCCATTAGTAGAGTTTAGTAAACTTAGTTTTCATTACAGTGAACAACAATGAAAAACTTTGCTTTTTTTTAAATTAATTAAAAAATCAAAAATAAACTGTTTGTCAATCTTATAAATGTTCAAAATGTAATCTACTATGAAATTGTTCCTGCACTCTGTTTAAAACCTCCGGTGTTATGTTCTTAATTTCTGCAGTTATTCTTCATCTAAATTAACATGTTCTGTTTTAAACACACTGTTATTTGGATGTTTCCATATAAAAAAGTCTAGAGGTATTAGATCTGGTTATCTTGCTGGACATTATCCCGATTTACCAATGTGGAAAGGTCCCACCACATGATTACCAACAATACAAGCCAAAACTTTGCTTTTCTAAGGACGTGGTATGCCTTTGTCGCATCCAGTATCTGCAATTCTGCAAAATTCCCGCAAAATTGCAATCTTTTATCAGAATCACCGTCAATCAATTCGTGCATGTGTTGTTGTTACACATCTTAAAACAGTCTAATGACCAACGTCGTTTCCACGTGCAACCCCAGGTAGCACACTGACGATTTCTGACGTTTATATGACGTCTTCTGACGTTTAAATGATGTTAGCAACGTTATTTCAACGTCATATAAACGTCAGCAGACGTCAGTGTAATACCTGGGACCTAACGCGTAGAAGTTGTTGGATCTTCTTGAAAATCTAATAAAATATTGAGTTTTACATTTTTATCAATAAAATAATTCTTCATTACGCCGCTCACGTATGACCTTAAAATGTAAGCTTTTATGAACTCACGCGTGAATATCACGATCATAATTTTCCAAATGATATGAAATTGACTATATGAGGAGAAAAAATGCAAAAGGATTATTATCCATTTTTCAATTATTAAAGAAAAAGCAAATTTTCTAATTGCAGCAATATACTTTCATTGTAGTAACTATCGTCTTGACCTTCAAATAGAAACATTATTTTAATTATAATGTGAATCACCCGTGGCTTCGTTTTTCAAAAAAGTAATTAAATAAAATTAAATTTTGGATAATAATCCTTTTGCATTTTTCCTCCTCATATCTCAAAAACTGCTACAATAATCTATTATTGACTGCTTTTTTACTTTAAAAACTAGTAATTTTTAGAGAGTCAAAAATGACTAATTGTGATAGCGAAAAAGCAGCCACTAATAGCTGCAGTCCACATCAATTTGTGTCCCAGACATTTAACAGTCAATTCCTATGTAAAATTGCCCACCGAATCAAAAAATGTCATCAAAATTTATGAAAGT